CAACATTTTAATAAAAAAAAATTGTAGAATTCAATCACTCTCTCTTTGAGTTTTCTTTTTAACTTAAGTATTTGTTCCGTGAACAGAGTTATGTTTTAATTTTCGTTTGTCGCATAAACTTTTTCTCATATATTTTCAAGCAAAAAAATTTTCATCAAAAAACTTATTCAATACCTTTAAATTTCCTTTTTAATGTATTTGTTTCAAACAGAGTTATGTTTTAATTTTCGTTTGGCGTCGAGAGGACTTTTTCTCATTACAGCGGAAATAATAAGAAAACGTCTGTGCGACACAAATGAAAATTTAAAAAACAACTCTGTTCGAAACAAATACGTTAAAAAGAAAAGTTAAAGCTATCGAACGGTTTTTTTTTTTTATAAAAATATTGAGAAACTAAAACAAAAACATTTAAAAAGAGAATTTTGTGTTCCAAGCGAAATAAAACTTCTGACATTCCGAACAGTCATTTTATCAACAATTCCAATTGATCGAACAATGTGTTTGTATTTATATTTATCGCTTCTTTTTACCTTCAATCCTTCGATTCTTTTTCGAAACAATCACACCAGTTCCACTATTTCGCACATAGGTATATAGATCCTATTGTTATTTATAACATTGTTTCAGGATAAAGGATAAACATACACACAATTACATTGTTTAAAAATATAATTTGTTACAACATATATTACATCTTAGAGATATCGACTTGATTGAATTTTTTTAATAAACTTTACGTCCTTTGTCATGTGTAACACACGTTGTACATCTTTAAGATATAATACGTTGCACGTATTTTACATTTCTTAAAATTTCTTATCTGATAAGATCGTTTTAAATTTTAATAAAAACGACAAGTTAGTTGCAGAAACCTATCATAATATACATAAATGTCTAGATCATTAAAGTTAAAGGTATAATAGATGAACGATACACATGTAATGGAAAACGTACCTCTCATACAAATAACAAAAAAGATGGAAGAACATAAAATAAAAAAAAATTTAATATATACATATAGGAATGCTACACAGGAATCTTCATAAAATATTAAATTCCGTAATCGTAAATTTCATAATAATTGGAATTGAACGCTTTATGTCACTGGCATATCCGATAATAATCTGCTAAAAGTAAATATAATATAAAAGTATAAGTGTATAATCGATACGATAAATATATCGTATACATGATCGATTATATACACTTAGATACTTTTATAATAAGTAATTATAATTCCCGTCCTTGTAATTTGATCCTGTATTTACAATAAGATATACCACAAAATATTATAAACAAATTTCATAAAATTCTAAAATCGAATTCATCTATATCGCAATTTCAAATAGATCAAATTACAAATAGAAAAATATCCGTTAACGGACTATTTTGCATATTACGTAGCAATTGCTGCGTAATATACAATCTGAAAAAGAAATCAGTTTAAATATAAAAAAAGTTTAATATTTTATTTTAAAAATATAACAGAAAATAAACGATCTATACAAAGCAATTCTATTCTTTTATTTTCTTAATAGAATACTTTTGTATTCGAGTCATAAAGTAAACTTTTATGGGCTTTCTGTAATAAACCTAAGTTTAAGTTTTAAGAAATTGACCACTCATAGTCGAATATAAGAAAAGAATAATTGATTATGAATGATCAATTAAGACATTTAAAGTTTAATTTTAATGTTTTCTAGTTTAAAATATATAGATAACACTGTATAACACATTCCGTGCTTTCCAATTATATTTAATATAAATTGACACAATTATACATAGCTAAAATGCTGTACTTATGTCATTTTATATTACATGATATTCGTTATCTTATATCACTTTATGAATTTTTACATTTCATTACCATTTATTTTTCTAAAAGTGATTTTCTGAGAAGAGGTTTTAAGTTTATGTTTTTCGAATATATTAGGAGTACAAATTAGTTCGGTCCGTTTTATTCAAACATAGATGTACGAGATCTTTTTTTTTATTTCACCCTGGTGGTAAAATAAAAAAAGCAACAGCTCTTTAGTTACAAATCTCTCTCTGTCTCTCAACACTGTATTGTATATTGTGTTATGCAATGTACGAGTGCGTTCCATTTCTAGAAAACAAAGGTAATGACTTATTGAAGAAAGGCCACTAGATCTATGTGATTAATGATTCTCTGCTGCAATTTGGTAACAGTATAAAAAAAAATAATTTTCTTAAATAAAATTTAAACATTTTTCATGAGTTAGAAATGTGATGTAAAAACGTATGACGTAATGACATTTTTGCAATTTTATGTATACACGAATTTATATGAATATAATTTAAATGTATTTTGAGGTCAGATTATACTTTTACGTATAATTATAAATATATTTGCGCAACTTCTTTAAAACGTTCTACAATATAACAATGATTACAATAAGACAATGATAACGACGATCACAAAGAGACGGTCTTTTTGTTGAAAGTATAACATTTTGTTTGTTTTGACGTTTTGTTAATATTATACTCAAGAAATTTCTCATAATAAGTACAATACAACAGACGTAAGGCACCTGCGGTTTCACCTATTGATATTATTTGTAATCTTCATAAAGTGCAATTTTCTTCTTGCTTCGAGCCTCGCTACGGCCTGTAATCTTTTTCTTTCGATCTCTTCCGCGGTACACCTTATTGTGGGCTGCGAACCAGACTTTTTCGCCATTTCCTGTGTATCGTTTTTCATATTACCGGTAGAATGATGCTTAACAAAATGATTACCATCGCTTTTTACCACGCACCTGTTAACATTGGACCCACGCATTCGATCCATACTTTGCATTAATAAAATTGCGTTATTCTCAGCCTTACAATCATTTGTAACAATCGGTTTTGTACTTACGGAGGCACGCGAGCCTTTAGCATTCGTGCTCGCGTCCAAATTAACATGTCGCTCTGACAAGCTCTTAGTTTTAAAGAATTTTCTATTCTGTAAGTAGTTGGCATTAGACGTTTCAGGCTTTGTCACAGGCTTAAGTAAGTCAGCGGATTTGGCTTCTGACTTTAACGGTGCATTAGTCAAATGCTTATAATTGGATTGAAATTTTGTGCTATCGTTTTTATGAGTTAAAGACACGTTAGATTTTGCAAATAATTTCTCTTCCTCAACGCACGACGCTAACCAATCATCAAAAGAATCGTTTTGAAAATCAAGCAAGTCTATGGTATTACTTTTTGGTAGTTTCTTATTGTCACATGGCTTCTTGATATAGGAACGTATTGTATTATTGTTATTTGGACATGGTTTATATGTATCTTTACTTTTCTGCACTGCAGAGTGTATAATAGAGTTTGCATCTCGTTTCAATGACAACTTTGAGTATGTCTTTAATGTACTATTATCACATGAGCCTGAAACACTTTCGACTAATGACTTTTTACTATTATCACTGGAATTAGACTGTACAGATGTCTTATTTGATACATTTGTTTGACATGAATTTTCTTTTTTGACCTGTAACTGAGTGGAATTTCCTCTTTCCAACAAATTAATTTTTTCCTCTATCTCTTGAGTGCACCTGATTATATCGTCATCTACAGAATCATCAAATAAATCATCATAATTTCCGCTCGTTTCCTTCTTGCTGGTGCTGTTATGATCATTTGTTTCTCCGACGCTGTTTCTCTGCTCATTATCGTTATTGCTTCTTTCGACGCTTTTCTGCTTGTCATCTTTTGGCATTTCTTCCTTGTTTCTTATATTCATTAACGTTGATACTTCTTTCTTTTCAATACAATCACTTAAATGATTATTGTCGTTTTGCTTTATAACTCTCATTTTTTCGTTTAATGCTTGCAGCTCAGCTGCAAATTGTCCAATGTTTTCTATATTTTCCCTCTTGATTGTTTTTCTCTTGAGTGGTTTGTACAACAAAGGCGAGTTGGAATTTCTCTTCCTTTGCAGCAGCTTAGTTCCTTTGGGAGTTTCACAGTGTACATTCTGTTTTTTTCTACTATTCTCAGGAGTCCTGCTCAGAGAACTTTGCCAATCCCATGCAACCTCGTTACCACCTTCTTGAGTAAATGTAGGTAAGATTGGGCTTGGGGAATAATCAAAATCCGGAGAATCTTCCTTATCTGCATTGGTGTATTGTTTCTTAATGATTGGCGTGCTGTAGCCAGAGGTTGATTGTTCTTGATAACTTTGAGGAGAATCATTTTTTTTGTCATTCTTCTTATTTATCTTGTTACTTGTCATTACTGCTGCATTTTCTACACCTATGCGTAACACATGCATTCTTATTACAACTCTTTTTATTATCTTAATAATAACAAAAAGAAGATAATTAGAGTAATTAAATAGAATTATAGCTACCTCTATTCGCACTCGAATGCGATTTTTTGCCATTCCTAACGTTTGCACATCTCATCATCGCTTTTTCCACAGTTCATTTATAATTTTTAAATTCTCTTTAATTCTGTATCTTTTTACGGAAATAGAGCTTCCAATATTGGACGGTCAATCTTAACCTAAACCACAGACCGGCAAAGATTGATGGAGCGCTTAAACTTTTTAAACAACTTTTTCTGCAAAATCTTAATAAGCATCAATTTGATAGTACTCGAATCTACTCGAGAAAGCGTTCAATGAATACTGGTGTACTTTTTGAAGTAAAAATCAACATGTTATATAAACAATCACAAATGTTAAGTTTGAGCGAACCTCACTGATTTAAGAGTAAACATAACCTTGTTTTAAAGAATAGTAATAGCTGTTCACTACGCCTCTATGTACGAAACGTCCATCTTTTGAACTACATTATAGGTCTTACATCTATTTTGCGACACTGCCGATAAAATCGTAATGTCGAAAAAATGGATACGTAAATGTGTTATCCACCGAAATAGGAAATATCCATAAGCTACATAGTTCAACGTGCAGATTTGGTGCACATAGAGGCGCCAGTAACGGAATTCCATCTGATTCTATTCAACGCGGGCAGTCGCAGTCCATTCCTTCTGTTTCCACGCATTTCCACGTTATTATGATCATATGTGTACATTAAATTAAACGTCCGCGTTGATCCACGTAAACGACGTGAGTGGACGCGAGGAAAACAATTAGAAAACAATGGAGGTGACGCGCTCAAGTGAGTTTAGATAAACAGTAAAGGTGATGACTACTTGTTCATACTTTTTGTAATTTAACATGATCTTGGTTAGACTTTCAGGACGTGCTGAGTGAGTTGGAGAACGTTATAAAGGACGCTACTTTTCTTAGTATTGACGGCGAGTTCACCGGTCTTAATTCAGGTCCAGATGCAGGTCCATTTGACACGCCGGCTCAGTATTACGCTAAGCTTCGAACAGGATCAATGGACTTTCTGCTGGTACAATTTGGTCTATCCGTTTTCACATACAACTCAGATGCGAACAAGTAAGATATTAATTCTGTCTTATGTCCGTTTTTATTAATGCAGATTAACTTTAATTGCAGTTCGACTTACTCATTGTGTTTATTTCTATCAATATAGATTAATTTTAATATTTATTTTATTTATTTTATTCTTTTCTAATTTTTAGAACCAAGAGAAACTAAAATGGCAGTTAAATTAAGATTAAAGTTAATCTACATTGATAGAAATAAACATTACTAATTTAATTTAATTAGTAATAACATTTTTGAAAATAATGAAATTACATAAATGGAAAAAATGATAGGGCTTGTATGTTTTAGATATTCACAGCGCTCTTATAACTTCTATGTGTTTCCCTTACCGATGAACCGCAAGGTATCAGACAGTAGATTTATGTGTCAGGCGTCATCTATAGCATTTCTGGCAAATCAAGACTTTGATTTCAATAAGTTATTCAAGTATGGAATACCTTATCTCACTGCAAGCGATGAAGAGAAATTTGTCAAACGCTTGGAGGAGAAACATAAAGCTAAAGAAGAGAGCTACCATGACATAATTCCAGTGCCGGATAATGACAAACCTCAAATAGAAAAAATATGGTAAATCTACATTTTTTGGTTTACCATTTCCTTTAATTTAGCAAACTAAAGTTAGAAGAAAAACATAATGTAAAAGAGACTTGAGAGCTGTTTAAAATTTTTTCTTATTAGAAAATATATAGTGTATATAAATTTCAGTTCTAGAATAGAGAATTTTCTTGCCTCAGATGCAAAAGAGTTGACGATAGATCAATGTAATGGTTTTATCAGAAGACTGGTGTATCAAGAGGCAGAACTTAGGTGGCCTAACAAAATAAAAGTTGAAAACAAAATGAAGAATAGTTGGCAATGTCTTTTGGTACGGAGGGCAGGTACTCAGGAGGACGAGAAAGAAAGGGAAAATCAGAAATGGGAAAAGGAAAAACTAGAACTTAAACAAGCTGTAGGACTCAGTAATCTACTAAAGAAGATTGTAGAGTCTGTAAGTATGTAGGGTTTTTAATTATACATTACTACCTTAGTGGACAAATATAGTGACCTTGATAGTAAATTAGTGAAATAAATATCATTTTTTTACAATCTTTAAACTTTTTATAAGCAACTTTATTCATATTTTTTAAAATATATAGAGACAAGATACTGCTTTACTTTATATGTAACTTTTTGCTTTATTTATTAATTACGTTGAAATATATTTTAATTTTCTTATTTCAGGAAAAAGTAATAGTAGGTCATAACATGTTATTAGATCTGTGTCATATTGTAAATCAATTTTTTACACCTTTACCAAAAGACTATTCAGAATTTAAGACCTTGCTTCATGGCTTGTTCCCTAGGTAAGGCGCAAATATTTAATTCACTGTTTCGTAAATTTATAATTATTTTAGATATATTAAAACTTTTTACTTCTTTAATGAATCTCTTATAAATTGAGGTATATATGTATAGTATGAAATTTATAATCAAATCCAGAATCTGTTATATAAATTTATATGTTCATCAAATTAGAAATTTTTTTAAATATTACTTGCTTTAATATTTATAGAAATAAAAATAATTAAAATTGATCTCTTTTTCTCTTTCCTATTTAAGTTTGTTAGATACGAAAGTCATCTGTCAATCGCAGCAATTTAAAGAACTTGTGTCGTCGTCGAATTTGAACTTATTAATAAACATCATGAGCAAGCCTCCTTTTTCCATTCCTGATGTGGAGCCAGTAGAAGATCGTAGTTATTCGGTATCAAGAAAAAAGTTTCATGAGGCAGGATATGATGCGTACATCACTGGTTTATGCTTCATTGCATTATCAAATTATCTTGGTCAGTAATAATATATCAGGTACAAATATCATAATGATAAATAGTATTATTGTTGATAGTGCTACTTATTTTTGTAATTGATTATAAAAAATATGTGTATTTTAATAGAGCAGATGGTATATATATTTTTTTTCTTATTTATTGATATTGTTTATGTCAATCAATTACATACATTGATGAATAAATTAAATTCGTTATTAATTATTTTCTTAATTTTTGTCAGTAAATACATATTGGTTTGTTGCTTATTTCAGGTACATTACAAAACTCTGAAAATGCTACGGTACTAGCAAATTCACCATTGCTTAATCCTTTTATCAATAAGTGAGTACACTTTATGTATCAACAAAAAATAATATCTTATATTCCTATAAAATTTATAATTTTTACCTTTTTATTTTATTTATATATAATAATTATTTTATCAATCATTTTTTTGTATAGACTTCCTATAGCAAGACTGAAAGATTTTCCATATATAAATTTGGAAGGAAAAGATCGTAAGTATATTTGGTGTCACTAAAAAATAATATTACAATCTTATTGGAAAGGTGTGCATTACTTTCATTTAATGATATATTTTTTGTAGCAAATCCTAGCAGAGAACACGTGTTTCACCTTATATTCCCCAAAGAATGGAAATACGCGGATATCACTAATCTTTTTAGTCCATTTGGCAAGTATGACATTACATTTAGAGTAGAAAACGATTAACCTGTTTTTGTATAAATAAAACAAGAATTGACATAGAAGATTATATAGAAGATATATATGAAGGATATATAATGAATTTCTTCCTTTGTTTACAGGAGGCGGACACATTTCATGGTTATCGGACACGTCCGCGTACATAGGCTTATATCGTCGCGATCAGGCCGGCGCGGTGATGACAAGCTTATCTAAAGGAACTGTATACAAAATACAAAAATATACAAAGCATCAAGCCACTTTGCAGGCTAATGTTCCTATCGAGGACCGCAAACGGAAATTATCACCATCCGAGTAAGTATATTATGCACTATTATGATATTTTGCGCAATTCAATTTACAGATGTTTCTATAAATGTTAAAATTAACTCTCAGATTTTTCTACTAAATTTTTTACGTATGCTTTTTAAACATTTTCTATTCATTATAAAGTCAGATAATTTTACTAATTGAAATTTATACTCTTAGATGATTTTTGCTTCTGGACTAATAAAGTTAACTTTTTCTAGGTTTAGGGAAAATATAAAATTTTGTAAGAATTTTGTATTATTCTTTTGCGATATAGATATATATGTTTAAGTAACATCGCAATCTTGGAAATCATATGTATTAATGTTCCAAAAATGAATGGTCTCTATTGCAATTTATTTTCTGCCGCGAGCTATCACGTTCATGCGAGATGTATTAAACGCAAGGATGAATAACGCGTTATAGGTCCGCTATGATTTCTAAGATGATAAAGACAGAGAGAGGGGGGAGGGATAAGACCCTAGGCGGCCTCCTAGGATTTCCTGTACACGAGAGATTTGCATAGGGCTATAGACCTTGTTTTGAATTAATGCACGCGACGCTTGCTATCTCCTCTCACTCACACTTCTACAGGCCTATTTAGTATTCTTCCTCTTCTCTCTTTTCCCTTCAGCTTCGTTTCACTCTGCCTAGGTTCTCTACTCTTCTTTCTTCTCTTGCTCCTTGATCCGGTTTACGAAGTATCACCGTCGTGTGAGTGACTATAGTTGTCTATGAGAATTACTTTGAATGATGTGTAAGCGTGAAATCATCTGAATCGTTCAACGTTCTTGTTCCGTTTAATAGTTTTGTCACGATTACATTACGTCAGTGTAAAGGATTCTAATTAAATTCGCGCTCGTTTTTACTTTTTAAATATGGTCAGATGTTATGACTAATAATCTGAGGTACATTCAATAATTCATGATACAACAAGTCAAGAAATATTATAATTATTGAAATATATTATTTGTAAAAATATTTTTCGAAAAAAAGGTTAAAGATTTTTTTACGAGTATATACAGCAGTAAGTAGTCAATCGTGTGTTTAAAACAACGCATCTATGAGAAACTCTTTAACGAGGTACTGCCGGTTGCGGTAATCAATACACCGGGCACATGTTCCAGTCAACTGTCGTTAGCTGCGGTCTTCGTCCGCCGAGCACACAGACCGTATACACACATACATACACCCGCGCGCGCGCGCATATATATATATATATATCCCGTTTCCGTTTAACCAACTGCAGTCTCTCCGCCGCATTGTAGTTACAACACTGCTCAGTCTCGCGGGCGACACGATATTAATGAATCGCCCACGTGCTCGCAATCACCGTGCTCGTAACTCTCCCCGCTGCGTTTCGCGTGCACGCGTTTCCGTGCTGCGAAACGAAACGAACATCAACATTAGATGACAAGAAGCTCGCGGCCACAACCGGGATAGATTGATGACGTTTCTAGGAAGAGCAGGATCATTGAGTGGACATGACATTTACAATCGGTCGATTTAAATTCTAACAACAAGAGAAATTGCTGGTCTGTCTAGGAATGATCTTTCAGAAAGGGAAAAAAAGATTCTTTTCATCAGCGCATTGTTATACACACTCCAAATCCAAACGTATAGCAAGTAACTTCGCATATGTGTATGTGATATAATTTTCTATATAAAAGTAACACTATATTACATGTTTATCATAAATATGTAAATTCATTTGAGTTGAGTATATTATTTTTATACTAAATCATCTGCATATATAAACTTATTTGTTATACACTTGGATTTGCAGCATAGGCCATTTGAGAGATAAGATATGCTTAAATCCACGAAGGCAATTGCAATTTATTTCTACCATTAAGTTTAATCTTGGTTCAACCTTCCTTTGATCTTTTTCTAGTTCTGAGAAAAAGATAAGAATTCATTGAACCGAGATTATAGAAAATCTACATTGTTAGAAATGGGTATTAGAAAAAGATAAAGGGTAAACTAAACTGAGATTAAAGTTAATTTTACATTGGTGAAACCGGGCCTTAATGGATGAAGAACCGAGTGTTTAACATCGACATCGAGAGACAGGCACCTCGGGCGCACGAGCGTGGTGGATGTAATCGTGAAAGAGAGAGGGATCAACCGACCGACCGATCGACCGATCGTTCGTTCGCTCGCTCGCTCGCGGTTGTGCATTATTGGCATTATCGTACATTACGCCCATGGAATTTATTCGGCGCGCGTCAGCCGCTCGCGGAACTGTTGCTGCGAGGCTCGCGACTTATGAATATGCAGCATCACGTGCGCGTGTCATGTACGCAACGCACGTGTGTGTGTTCTTGTTAAATGTAGTTCGATATCGCAGGATATAAAGAATTGAGTGATGTAAACGGTAGGATCTTCGTGAACGAGACACGAGTTATTTTTACACACGGTTGTCGGCGTCTGTCGATCGATTTTTCGCGGCGATTATATTTGTCACGCTGACGGAAATTCTTTTTCATTCGCGTTACATGAGAGAATTGTTCGCAGAAAGGACATGAAAGATGACGAGGAATCGACAGCGAACGGCGCGAAGGCACCAGAGGACAACGACGACGACGATGACGAGTGGCAAGTTGCTACGGGTAGGTATTACATGCTCTTTTTATTCTTGTGCTTTGCATCAACGGCTCGATTTGTCTCGTACAGGTAAAAGACGCAAGAAACGCAAGGAGCAAGCGACTACCACCGTAACTAGCAAGAAAGCTTTCGAGGAAAACGACGCTTGGAACTAACTGCAGTGTTCCGGGGAACATCACGTTGAGCGGCACGAAATGCAGCATGATATGCATCAATTGCATATACATAATACGTAACACAAAAGCGCCAAAACGTGCTGAATAAAAAAAAAAAAAGAAAAAAATCTTTGATTTCACTGACCTCCACTTCTAATCACTAAACGAATGTCAATATGTGTAATTTTATCGAGATATATATTTATGGATATGTTTAAATTCTTAATAAATCCTTGATTTCTGATAATATCTGAGCGCATTTTTTCTATGAATTAACGTAATACCATGGCATATCGCTAGATTTATGTTACCATTAAAAAATCTGTTGCTTTATTTTATATGTATTTAAACTCAGGCATTTCCCAAATTTCGATATTGAAGTACAATGTCCATTTTGTTACGTTTTAAATATTTTATTTTATATTATCACGATTAATAATTTATGTAAAATTTCAATTCAAAAAATTATCACGTTTGATAAATATAGAGATATATGTGCATTGATATATTCTTTAATTCAAGTCACATAACGTCTCATAATTTTTTGAATATACAATCTCAATTTCGACAATTGACCTTGATGAAAATTCTTCGTACTTAGTAACTGTGTAAACCGTAGCGATTACAATCGATGTGTTGACAGTTTTTCAATTAGCGTCCGTTCGTATCAGCTGGCATATAACAATAGCTTCGGCTGGAAGGTATCAGTGGATGGACAGTGGAATGTGTTATTTGGAATCTTCCAAAGGTACGTAATATCTTGGTAAAAAGAGAACACTTGCAAAAATAAAGTATGATATAGAACGAATCATTTTGTATACATAGAATTTTATTTCCGAATAATTTTAAATTTTGTTTATATTAGATCTTAATAATTTTTAATAACGCAATTAAACATTTTAATTAATCCTAACGACATATAGTAGTGGAGTTTTGGTGATATTACAATTTTTTTAAATTAAGTTAATAAATTTAAATAAATTAATAGTTATCTCTGTAAATTAAACGCAGGATTGCTGATATATTTGAACGTAGAAAAAAAAAAAATAATAACTTTGAACACACACAAGGCACGTATGTTATTGTGAATTTCAGTTATCTTTAACAATACCCGACATCAGTATAAGCTGTAGATATCTATTGTGTATTATAGCATATAATACATCAAGTATTATAGTATGCAGTACATAATTTGCATTTGAACATATTGTATTTTTTTACTACCTCTGAAATTTTCACTGAGTTCGAGATAGATAAATAATTTCGCTATCGCGAAATTACCAGCTGCATAAACTCGTAATGTACGTTATAGGAATCACGTTGAAAGATGAATAGGTTCCTGCTGGATTTGCAGAATCTTGATTGGCAGAATCAAGGGATCGCCGCTGACACCCCTCTGCGCGGCGATCATCCGAGATTACGCAGAACCGGGTTGCTGGACGATACAAAATCGGTGAGTCCAATAGATCATCCTCGTAAATGCGTCCTTCATGCTGTTGCGATGCGTTGGACTCCTTTGGGATTTCCAAGGGCATTGCGTTCATTCCGTGTCGAGGCACATGCCGCATAGAAACCCCAAAGCTGCCTCAACAAATTCGTCTCGAAAGTCTGCGCCTCATTTTATTAATAATTAATTTTTAAACCGGGTTTCAGACGTACTTAGTCTGCAGTAAATATCATTTATATCATATCGTAATAAACAATATTAAAACCAATGAGAAACAAGCCCTGTCAAGCTGGATCTTGGGTGCTTCAATAATGTATAATATAATCGTGTATGAATTTATATTGCTAGTATGTATGTAGATTTTTAATTGCGCGCCGAATTATTTTCAGACTTGAAACGCAAACTCTACAAAACTACCGCAATAATAACGAATTAAATTGACTAACAATTTAACAATTTTTTATGCTCTTTACACATTTTAGATCGATCTTAATAATGTTGAAAGACATTAATTAATTATTTACAGATATTAATATAATATCTGTAAATAATTAATTCTTATTGCGAAAAATATTATCTCAGCCGGGAGTCGAACCCGATTCTCTAGTATTCCGCGCGAGCGTCCTAAGCCTTTAGAGGCTTTAGGGCGTGTTCAGATTCCCACCCGAGTGCTCCCCTGGATGTCACGTCATCCTTGTTTAACATTTGTAAATAATAAGGATAGAAGAATACCTGGGTGGCACTCGGGTGGGAATCTGAATATAGCTTTAGTAATATTCTTCGCAATAAATTAATATATGTACGAATAACGTCTATCTCAGGCGACGTAAACAAACAATATTAAATCTTATAGGACCTTATAAACAATATTACTATAATATATGTTACTAATAAAAAATCAGTGTATAATTAATAATAAAATTAAAAAAGCCTACATTTAATTAACCGAATTCTTGATTAATATAGAATAATAAATAATAATTTCTTTATAGAATATAGAATAATAAATAATAATTTCTTTTTTTTAAATATATGGCTAAAACAGTTTTCATTTAATTACTACTTCGCCAATTTTAATAGCATTTAACAAACTTGGATCTTTGACATTTCGGAGAGACTAACATTAAGTTTGCAAAAAATCAACAGATGCAAAAAGGACAGTTAGGAAACGCGGATATTATCGGATAATAATTGCTGCAGGAGTTATCAATTATGATCAGATTTATTTTATAGGTCAGTATTGTATCTCCGACTTTCCCGTCATCGCTGCAGGTGATCAACGTATGATACATTTGACACATGCACATTTAAAGATATACACTAATAGATTGAAACCAAAATTAACTCGCGCATATTATTCTGTTATGTTCTACATTATCCATACATCAAACTTTATTTCATTCTCTATATAAATAAGTACTTGACTTTTACAAACTTTTTTTAAAGATTTCAGAAATAATCAAGATCTCTCTCTCTCTCTCTCTCTCTCTCTCTCAATTAAATGAATGTTCAAATAACGATAGTTTCTGGGCATATTTTCATTTTGACAAATTAGTTTGAAATGAAATGACAACTGTTATTTTCTCTCTATTATAGGAGAGACCGAGGCACTATGAGTCACAAAAATTCAAACAATAAAAAATACATTAAAATGTAAGATTTTTGGTCTCAATTTTTTATATAATTAAGAGATAATGTATATTTTAAGATTTATTGAGCATTTTTTATAAATATTGATTTGTTTTTTATATAAAAATCGAAAAAGAGGTATTCAGAAATGACCTACCCCATGCTCGGGATACCCCATGACCCATGAAGCCCCAGTCTCCCCTACATATTATTATTCGAGCATTGAAAAATGTATAGGAATATATTATTGCAGTTATACGCATCAATTATTGCACTTTTTTCTTAACTCAAAACAAGTGAGAAATATTTACGTTAATTGCAATTATTGACAAAATAAATTTTCCTTCTTACTTTTCTCATGCATCCACGTTATTATTATCGGTCTAAACATATATATTTGTTATATAAAAAGATTTACCGTTGTATCTCAGAGATGGAGATGTTTGCTTTAATATTTAGAGAAATTATTGCTGGAGACAATTTCTTTCGAAGAGACACCAGTGTCTTCGCGCTTACGCCGAAGACAACTTGGGACTTAGCAGGCCAGTAGGATTCGAACGCAGCAACCACAGGACCACTAAGGCCCAAATCATCCTCAACACTTTCCGTCCTTATCGTCCGCTGCGCAAACGTTCCGGCATCTGAAAAAAAAAAAGATATTTTAAAAACAATTATTTATTCGCAAAACTTTTTTGAAAGTTGCGTTTGCAAGCGCCATATAATTCAATTTTTCTACATATAGTACATTTCTTATGCAAGTTCACAATTAAATAAAGGAAAAAAATAATTAAATGACATTAAGACTATTTTAATAATTTACACGGAAAATAATATTGTACATGTTATAATAACATTAGGCAACAGTAATCTAATTAAAGACAATCTTGTTAATTCAATGACAGTTTTAATGAAAACAGATACTCTTGTTTTACAATTAGTAAAATGTTATATGTGTTTAATTAGTATTTTAATTGTCATTGAATTAACATTAGGAAAGCACCAACATTTCTTACTCACTAAAAGAATCATACGAATAAATTATTATGAAAATAAGGAAAACGATGAAAACTAAATAACTCATCAGAATAAAGGACGTGATTATTGAGAAGTCAAAATATTAAAAAATCCCATCTTTTATACATGAAATATAGTATTAATCTAGAAAATAGAAACGATCAGTAATAATGACTGATCGATGTTAATAAAATTTATTTTCAATAAGATTGCTATTAGTTAATGTTGTTAATACAATATTTTTTCCACGTATTACAATTTTGCATGATGTAAAATATGAAAATCTTTTGGAAGTTCAAAAAACGTAAACAAAATACAAACATTTGGCTACATTAAAATATATGAAATTATTTATGCATTTACAATTTTAAATAGAATTGTGTTCTGAAAAATCCTGTGTTCGTAGATCGTTTAACGTGGGCGCAAAATACATTAAACAACTTTTTAGACGGCTGCAATTTACGATAAATGACGTGAGAGTGTTACGGGAAGAAGGTATCGAGCGTTTCTCCCTCAGCCAATATCCGTTTGTTTTTCTTCTTTAATTTCTGCGAGGCAAAACGTTTTCTGACATTGCCGCATTCAAATACGTCGGAAGCGTTTAATGACCGTTCGTCGGCCGAGACTGTTCGTCTTATTCATTACGTTAAGTACTCAGAAGTGCACCTAGTCATCCACGGCGATTTTATGCACGCCATCAAGTAACGGGTGTGCCGGAAGCGTTATCGGGAGGACGAGATAAAAGGTGGCTGGGGATGCACGCGAGAGATACTCGCGATTCTTCGTTCGCGTAGATACGGAACTATGCATCCAGTTTTCTGGTTACTGATGTCATTACACTTCGTGAACGAGCGATAAATATATAATAAGTGTAAAAAGATCGTTTGAGAGAGTTCGAAGAGTTTTAAACGGTGACGTATATGAGTTGATTGGTTTAACCGGTTTGCGCAACAGCTTTTATACAATATGATGAAGCTTATTTTATTTTGCAAACCTATAACTTTAAATCTTCAAATATATTTTACATTTTTCTTTGTGTAGAATAAGTTATCTCAAATAAAATTGTAGCTCTTCACGATAAGAATAATTTTGCAGAAGTTTAAAAAAATGTAGACA